AGGTGACTACATGAAAAGAAAAGACAATTGGAACGTGCGATAGTAGTGAGTGATATTTAATTTCAAATATATAACTTAATGCCATAACAATGATATTTTCAAGATTTGCTACTATATATATGTATATATATTTCTAAAAATGTGAACGTGAATATAAAACACGGTTTAACGATATTACAACATACATATAATATTCCTACATGACTCCTCTAAAAAAAGCTTTTTCAATAAATTCTTTGGCGTTTTAATTAAACGCAGCGTGAAAATACATTCGCGATCAGTATATCATGATGATAATCTTTGATTCATAAATTTGAGATGGGATACATTTGATGTGATATATTTGATTAAAAAAAAAAAAGAAATATAGATTTCGCCGAGAAGATCGCTTTTTCCTTGCAGAAATCTAATTTAATATTGGTCAATTTAATATTAAAAATTACATATTTTAGGTATTAAAAGCATTGAATAATAAAATGCTTTTAGTCTTAAATAAGTAATTAATCATTATCCTCCAGTGTTAAATTTTTAGATTTCCTCATCACTTGTAAAATTTTAATATTGGAAGGTAGTGATTAAGTATTTTGGGTGTTAAAAGTATTGTATAAAAGTATTGTTCATTGCTTTCAATACTCAAAATAAGTAATTAAAATGATGATTTTGAAATATTAAATTAGATTTTTGTAATGGGCGGATAATTGTTACGAATAATCGAGTCAATTTAAAGTTTCCTCTGACGATCAATTTTCTTTGAAATTTCTTACCCGAGCAAATTGTGCGCCATAGACGCGCGAAGTTAAAATAAATATGATATATTTTCCTTAAGCTTTCGGTCATTCCGCATCACAAGTTAGACGGCTCAACCGAGGCAAATTACATTTTAGGCTACATTTGCAGGACTGGATGTCTATATTCTCAATAATAAAGAACAGACACAGTCCGTCTCGCTGTCATCTATGTCTGTATACTTTTGAAGTTCGCTCCTTTTTATAGCACACCGTTCTCTACGTTTACGTTTGTACACTTGACGTTAGTAAATGTACTCAGTGACTTTATATCTATCTGATAATCGAAAGCGTATCTCTACAATGCTCTCTTGTTTGCTGATTTACTTTGGTCTCAGAACGAGACTAAATAAAACATAGCATCTTTTCTCTTTACTGTCGCCGCCTACTTTTACAAAAGCACTTCTTGTTATGTGAATCATCAGCGCCTTGTACGCTTTACTCTTTCAATACGAATATCTGTCACAAAGTGAATATATTGTGTTAATATCTAAATTAAATTAATTCGAAAGTTTAAATTGGTCAGTAACAATATCAATGGATTGTGAACTAGTTGTGATACTCAATTTATGTTAATACTTATTTGTTGTAAAGTCTTTGTTAAGAATATTAAATAATAATAGTTTATACATTAATATATCCTTTTTTGAAGAGAATATTAAATACTTTTATATGTTAATATATATTTTTTAGATAGAATTTTAATGAAATGATAAATTATAGAGAATGATTTTTTTAATGTTTACTAATTGTTGAATATTAAACTTTTATGCAATAATTTCTTTATAACAGGTAGACAAGAATTGAGGTAGTGAAACAAAGTTGCAATTATCACTATTAATTTAGCTAAATACTCTTGTAAAGTGTACATATCACAAAAACTTTCACATATTTCATTCACGTATTAATAAACTATATGAAATATGCCTGAATCTCCAATATAATTATTGGAAGCATAAAATTCGTATAAAGTAAAATCGTTAAAAATTCAATACATTTAATGTATATAAAAAAATTGTATAAAATGAAGTACAGTTATCGAAAAATCCACGATTGTCGTATCAAGAAGTGCTATGGATTCATCGCGATATATATGCTTTTTATAATGATTTTGATAGCAATGCTCGAACACTCACTGAACAATATACGCGAGAGTTAATTATATTCCATATTCTCGAGAAATATGAATTAGTAAGTACTCATATATTGATATAAATATCCGAGTGTAGTACAAGTACTGCACTTAGAATATATAAGTACTGCGCTTGATATATGTATACTGGCAGTTTGCAAAGAAAGTTCAGTCCACAATTACTTCTTATATTATTTTAGTTGTGACGGAGTGCTGGATCTGTAAGACGGTGGGGCAGGTAAAGCTAATGACGGTGGTAAGCTAGCAGTACTCGTCACAGTAGAGTCCAATTTACGCGCTTCGTGCTCCAATAATACTGCATCCAATGACGGATCTTGAGCCACGGTTCTTAAAGAGTCGCCCAACGCTTGTCGCAATTGTTGCATCTCTCTACCGGCTCGTGAGCTCCGTAAAACGTACAATTGCCTGCGCTTTATCTCCTGATTGAGTTGTTCTCGCAACAGTTGTATCTATCAAAAAATTTGCATTTTATTTATATGAATTCATAATCATTAAATGACGATAGATTATTTGCGTATTATTCACTGCAATAAAAATATTTAAAATAAATAATATAACGAAACAATATAAATATGTATAAAATATATACCTGATTTTCCAAACGCGACACTTGCTGACGATGGCTCTGTTCTCTTGCCTCTAATAATTTTTCGGCTTGCAGTTGCGCGGCTCTGATCCGTTCTAATTCACCGCATCTATCTCGACTCATATCCAATAACGAATGAGAGGAATGCATGTAAGTTGATTTCACGCGTATAAGTTCGGCCTCCTTCTCCGCTAATTGAGTCTCCAATTTGCGTATCTTCAATCTCAGTTCTCTATTTTCATGCTCCAAATTGTCAAGACTGTAACTAGTGCCCAGGAGTTCTATATGCGCTTTCTCCGGACGTTCGTAACTCTTACTTCGAATACTAGTCTTACTCGCAGCAATTTGACGTTCTAAATTACGTTTGTCAGCTTCTAATAGCTTCACCTAATTACAAAATATATTTTGTAAATATAGAAAGTTCAATTTTTTTGTATTTAAGATCTGTTCTTTGTAGATAAAAAAACTAGTGTATACTTATTAGACTCAAAATGAAATAAATATTTTGATAAATAAAAGTGAGATCAAAAATCTTAGCAACAATAAATAGACTTATATTTTGATTTTTGCAACATTTGTCTACAAAGTATGCTTACTTTGTCGTTAAGAGCCTCTACTTTTCCTTTCATCTCACTCCTTTCTCTTTGAGCAGTTTGCAATTGACGTAATAGATCTTCATCCTTAGTCGCACCACTTTCTGGTGGCCACGTAGACAATCTTAATTGCGACTCTAAAGCTGATCGCTGTACTTCGTTATTGGCTAGCTCATTTTGTAGCCGTGTATTTTGATCAATTAGTGATTGATTGGTATGCTTTAAATTGCTCAAGGATTGTTGAGCCGTTTCCAAGCGTTCAGATAATATTCTACGATCATTCTCGGTGTTCGAAAGTTGTTTCTGTAGCTGAAATAAGATACATAGATTTACAATTTAAGAAAAAAGAAGCTTTCATTAACAACGTCTTACCTGTTTAAGCTTCTCATTGTTACTTTGAGAGGAAGTCGTAACCTCCATTATATTCTGCCGTAACAGATTTATTTCACTCTTGAGTTCGGTTTCCGTAGCAGACGCTTTCTCTAATGATAATTTTAATTGTTCTATAGTAGATTTTAATGAGGCGCAACGTTCCTCTAAACCTGCCATGGTACGATTTTGCGTGTCAAAGCGATCCTGTAATTTCTAAAAAAAAAACATTAATAAAGCATTAATAAAATTTACGTTTAAGTTCTAAAAACTGTCGATATCGATTCACTTTATTTTTATCGATAAATACGTGCATTTAACATAATTTACATAAATTTAACATTATTAATTTATCTTATATATATTATAAAATCTTAGGAATATATATACGTGCAATTATCGATAAAAGTGAGATATGAATAAATCATTGTCTTCTAATTGTCATAATTAATGTACTGATTCAAATATTACGCTCTTATTAAAATATAGAAATATGCTGTAGACAATTAAAACGCTAATTGAAAATATTTCCATCTTACTTGAATATGCGCTTCTTTTTCTTGCAACATCATTTGCAATCTTTGGAGATCGCCGTCTAAAGACATTCTGTGCAGTTCCATCTCTGTTGCGCGAGAATCGCTGTGACGAACTTCTTTCTGAAGATTACGCTTTTCTGTTTCCAATCTGTTCAATTCTTGTTTAATTTTCTCTAATTTATCCTAAACAAACATAAAATTATATGCACTGAAAAATTGTATGTAGCGATTGTGAGAATTTTTCTTCTAGATTGTACCTCGTACTGGGATTTCTCGTCCGATTCGGCGCTCATCTTTATTTCTAAGGTTGTAAGCTTTTCGCATAATTTTTCGCACTCTTCCGTCTTTTGTTGAAATGCAGCCAGCTAAAAAATAAATGAAAATATTTATTCTTTTTTCTTTAGAAGACACATACAAAACACATGTCTATATTTTACTAAGTAAAAGATACCTGTGCTTGATAGCCAGTTTGTGTTTGAGTTAGTTTTGCTTCCACAGATTTTTTCTCTTCTTGAAGCGTGCGAAGGTTAGTCAGAAGATTGTTGACTTTTACATCTGTGCTGCTTTGATTTTCTTGAGACTCTTTCAGTTGTTTCTTTAAACTACACAATTCTGTTTTGTAATCGTCCTATAATATTATAGATTTTATTATAATAAATCAATGTAATATATTCACTTATTTATCACGGAAAGTACGATATTGTCGAGATATTTCTAAAATTTTAGCTAGCTACAGATTTAAAAATAATTTTTGAATTATCAAAATAATTATTTTGGATACTCTCTCAAACTGATCGCTAGAATATCAAAACTTTTTGCAATATTCCTAAATGTTTTAATGGTCCAATAAAATTATTTTCAAATCTGTATCTTTAGATACTTCGGCAAAATTGTTGTTTCGGTGTAATTGTCAAAGCTAAACGTACCCTCTCGCGTTCAATTTGGGCAACTTGTTGCATAAGTGATCGTATTCCCTTTCTAACGGCTTCGGGATCAACATCCAGTATAATATCTCTGCTAGTGTCACCATGATCTTGTGCTTGATCAAATTATGTTATATATCAATTGAATATTATGTAGGAATGATAATATATTATATCAAAAAAAATTTTTTTTTTACCACGCGCTGGGCTCCATCTTCTCGAAGGGCTCATCAATTTAAATGGAATGTTTACGCTTCCATCCATTTGTATACCGGCGATACGGCGGAGCGTGGAACCTACACTGCTCAATTTCTGTTCTACTTCCTTTTTAGCAGTCTCCAATTGCGATAGTTGCGCATCGAGAGCTCTTACCCTGCCTTCGGATCCTCCAAGGCGCGCCTGAGATTAGAAATACATTTTTTATCCTAATCAATATTTCAATGAATCTGAACATTTTTTTCAATTACGTTGTGAAAAATTATTTATAAATGCTTTTCGAAATTTTAAATAATTTTTAAGTTACATAATCTTATTTCTTGGATTCTAATCTTTAAAATAAAAAAAAAATCATGTTTTTCAATTATGTTAATTTAAGCAAAGATACATTAATGTTAAGTACAACGAACTCGCGAATATCAGTTAAGGTTTCAGAACGAAAAAACATCTCCATCTTTCTCGAAAATACCTTCAGCTCTTGAAGTTGCTGCGTGGCATCGGCCAAGCAAACCTCTAGATTATGTTTCTGATCTTCCAATTTTCTTTCGCGACAGCGGCTATCCTCGAGCCGGACCAGCAATTCTTGTTCTCGTGCACGCCATCTTTCATCCTCTTCATCTGCTCGCCCGCGTAATTTTCCAAGTTCTTGTCGCGTAACCTCCAAACTGTTATCCAAGTCGACTACCTGCGACAACGAAATTCACCTATTAACTGAAGAAGTGAAGGAAGAAGATGCGCATTTCTTCACCTGTTTCTTAACTTGATGCAATTGCAATTGTATTCGTTCTCTCTCCTCAATCTCGTTAGCTAATCTGGCCTGCAGTTCCTTCTCTTCATTTTGAGCTTGAGCATTGTTCTCATGGCATTTCTGCAGCTCATCTTGCGTGAAGCGAAGTTGCTGCTGCATTTGTAATGCTTCTCGTTCCATGTCGCGTACTTGTGCTTGCAGACGTGTCCTCTCGACATCCATGGTCGCTTTCGCGTCTTCCAATGCTAAACGCGTATATTTTAACATTTAACTATTCTGAATTATCAAATATGTTTATATATCTACGAAAAAAAATAATACCGACTTGCTATTTTCTGATATGACTCCTCCAATGTTCTTCCCTGTTCCCTTCTTTCGCTCTCAATTTGCTTAACGTGTTCCCGCAATTCTTTGTTACTGTTGTTGTATTTTTCTTTCTCATACGTGGTATCCGCTAATTGTCTTCGTACATCAACTAAGTCTTTGCGCATTGTCTCATTAACGTTGTCAGCTGCAATAAAATAATAAGTTGATTAACTCTTAAATTTTTTAAATTTGAAAACTTGGATTTTTTTCTAATGCTTTTTCAATGCTTTTTTCATTGCTTATAACTTTTTTTTATTAATAAAAGTACATTTATTTAACTTGGTACCATTATGTTTCTTTCATTGTTTTGATTGAGAAACATTTTTATAATATGTCCATTTTTATGAAAATCATAAACAATCAAACAAAAAAGAATTGGATTGGGTATACCCAAGTGTGTTGTTCCCGTAGTATAGCGGTTAAAGGTTAATGTCTATTTCTACCAATGTAGATAAACTTTAATCTGAATTTTATAGTTTTTATCTCTCTTTTTCTCTTTCTCTTTATGATTCTTTTCTAAGAATTAGAAAAACATAAAGACTAAAATAAATCGAGATTAAGGTTAATATATATTGATAGAATTGAATATAAGACAACTACAAATCGAGAAATAAAACTTTAAAGAAGAAAGTGTATTACCATCTTTGAGTTTTCTAATAGTATCGTGAAGCTGATTTTGCAATCCATCAACTTTATCCTCCGTCATGTGTAATTGAACTTGTAATTCTTCTACCTCTCGCTGTGTGGATTCCCGTTCTTTCCAGAGCTCTTCTATTTTTAAGTCGAGCTTCATTTTTTCTTCGTTAGCCTTCAACTTTGTCTCGTCTAATTTTGTTTTGAGACGATTTAATTCATCGCGGAGTTGATTTGTATTATTTCGTTCTTGCTCGGCACGTGCTGCGGCCTCTCTCTTAACACGTTCTAAGGTGTTCTTTTCTTCTTCTAATTCACGCATAATAGTATCAATCTTTTCGATTAATGCCTGTTGGTCGTGATGAGCTATAACAAATTTAAATATATTTAAATTATATTGATTTATAATATTGTTGTATACTGAAAATATTTTATAAAGATAATTAAGGCTTGATTTAGAGTATTAAAAAAAAAGTACACACCTATTAAAAGTGCCTGTTGTTTATCATTTTCGGCTCTAAGAAGTGCTTCCTCATGCTGCTTACACAAATTCTCTATGTGTTGCTGCAATTCTTCTATTCGTTGTTGCAGTTGATTGATTTCTTCATTTTTCTCTCCCTCCACTTGTGATAAAGATTGTTGCAACCGTTTCTCTAAACTTATTTTTACTTGCTCCTAAAGATAATAAACAACGAATGAACGTATTAGAAGAAACATGATAGAAAATCTTAAAATTCCATAAATAGTTAATTAAATACTTTTTCATCGTTTATCTTCTTTATGCTGTCTTCCGACTGTCTCTTCATATTAGATATAATTTGTTGAAATTCTGCGATCTGATCACCACTCTGTTGCGTAAGTGATTGTTTGATGTCTTGCGCACGTTTTTCACTATTATCCAATTCTTTCGTTAGTCGCGTTACCTGTCCTTTAAAATTTTCTTGTTTTATTAATAACTCTTTTTGCTCCTTCTCTAACTGTGTTTTCTTAACATGCGTAGCTTCCAAATTGGTTTGTGTATCAAACAATACTCCTTCTAATATTTCCTTCTCAGTGCGCATTGACGCAAGCTGCTCTTGCAATCTTTGGAATTCCTTTTCATTTGTTTCCAAGAGTACCTATATAAAAAAAATCTACCTTATTGTTTTGACATATCACTGTTTTGTTTCAAAAATAACAACTAAAAAAGAATAAGTTTTTCAAAAAAGGAAAAAATCATTTGATAGAAAATTATTGTCTAATAAAAAAATATTGACATATTTTTTTAATTGTATCATTTTTGGCATATAAGGAAGCGATGTAACAATATTAATTAATTAATTAATTAGTTATTAATTAATATTAATAGCATGTATTAAGTAAAGTAAGTTAAATCATCTTTCTTACCTGTTTTTCTTCGTTATCTTTCACAAGATCTTTCAAGTTTCTGTTTATTCGTGCATTCATTTCATTAGATTGTTCTAATCTTTGTCTAAGTCTCATGAGCTCCTCATTTAATGTCTCTTTCTTTCGCGCCAAGACCGACAATTGATTACTTAAATCGCTGCGTTCGCGAGTCACTTGACCTAATTCCATCTCTACTTTCTCCTTTTCTATCTCCAGAAATTTAATCTTTTCATTCAATGTAATCTTTTCAGATTCTATGTCAAGTCGAGTTTGTTCAGCTTGCAGCAATTCTTTTCTCAATGAATTGAGATCACCTTGTTGATCGATACACTGACTTGCAAGTTTATTTTTTTCGTCTGTTATCTACAATAAATCTATAATTAACACCAAACATAGATTACTAATAATGTTAGATTTGATGATAATGTTACCTTTTTCAATTCTTCTTGCAATCTTTGCTTATCCTGCTCATGATTAGAGCACATCGCTTCCATTTTTATCAAAATTTCCTGTACATCTGATTTTTCCAACAGTATACGTTCCAATTCCAACTCAAGATCGCCTAATTAAATTATTTACGTGAGACGTTTATAATTTATTTAAAGGTCATAATTTATAAATGGGAACATCGAATACCTTTGCTTTTTTCGATTTGAGAGATTAATCCATCGGTTTCTAATTTCTGCTGTTCCAACATGTCCTTGGCAAGATGAGCTTTATTCAAATCTTCTCGCAGTGTCAAAAGCTCTTCTCTCATTTTACTGCATCTATCCTCTTCCGAACGTAAACTTAATTCTCTGGAAATAATTTTGTGATAGATTTGAATTTGTGATAGAATTGAAACAAATGACGTACATAAAATGCTTATTAAAATCAATTTATTTACTTTAAGTCAGCATCTTCTGATATTCTACCAAGCTCAGTTTGTAAATATAACTTTTCATCTTCCAAGTTGTCACACAATTTTTGTAATTTATTATGGGTCTTCTGAAGTTTTTCGTAATTGTTTCTAAGGGCCTCCAACTGTAACAAAAATTTTAGTGAAATATCAACAATTATGCAAACAAAATTAATGAATAATTTAAATCCTACCGTGCTATTAAGTTCTACTTTATTCTTATCCAATGCATTTTTCTCCAATTTCACAGTATCGAGACTTTTCTGCAGCATGTCCTTCTCTTGATCCAGCTGTGTGCATTGCGAACGGCATATATCTAACTGAGAAATCAATTCCGCAACTTTGGTATTTAACGTTTGAGCATTTTCCTCCGCGGCATCGCACTGTTTGCGCATTGCTAGGATCTGTTCCTTGTTCGTTTGTGATTTTATCTAATACAAAAAATTCGTGAATAGAGCATAAATCTAATCATACAACGAGTAACGTAAAACTTCATTATTTTTTTTTTTATAAGACAATGTATATACCTGTAACTCGCGTATCGTTAATTGATATTTCTGCAGAGCCGCTCGTACCGCGCTTAATGTACTTTCAGCCAATGCTGGTATAGTGTTACTTCGCGTGCTTCTCTTTGGCGATCTCTGCTGCATCAGTGCACTGGGCGACAGATGGATATGCGGGGATGTCTGCTTAGCATCGGCGTCTCGGCTTTCAGCATCCTGAATCACGGCATGTGCGATGTCTCGTAATGCAGATTCCAGCACCTCAATATCTTCCTGCATGCGCCCAGTTTGAGTTACTGCCGCCTCAGAAACGCTACATCTTTCCTCCTACATATCGAAAAATATGCTGTTAAAATCTTATTAGGTGCCACTTTATATGTTTTGTCATGTATTTATCTAGATATTATAAAAAAACATCGTTTTTTGAAAAATTGATATATTATTAACAAATTTTTTTTTAATGTCAGTCATCGAGGAATATAATGGTAACAAGCAATTGTACATATCTTTAATAAAAGTTATAGCATAACAAAGTAAAAATTGCTCGGTATGTCACACCAGGAATGGTACCGAAAGATTAAATTTGAAGTAAAATCGATGCTCACTAAATTGCGAATTTCTCGAATAAACTGATCTATTCGATCATCTTTAGTACGAATTTCGTGTTGATAGGCAGCGTGTTGTTGCTTGAGTGCTGCAATCTCTGTTTTTAAAATTGTCACAGCTTGTTCCTCTTCCTGTTGTATTCTTTGGGACGGCTAAAATAAGACGTATAGCAACAACGTAAAATTTCCACAACAAATAAATTATATACAATTATCAACATAATTGTAGAATAGTCTTACTGTGGATTGCGCCGCACTTGCTTGAAGCTTCATAGTAAAATTCGTACTATTGCACGCCGATGTCATTTCATTAGACGATGCAATAATTTCATTCCGTATTTTGGCCAAATCCCTTTCCGTAGTAGATTTCATTTCTGCGAACAATCTTTTAACAGAAACAACATCACGCCATAAGTTGAGTAATCGATTATGCTCAGAGATGTAATATTCATTGAATGCTTGTTCTTCTTCCTTCCATTCCTCTTCCTTAATAGCCAACTCGTCTCTCAATATATCCCAGTCATTGCTTAGCTTTTGCAAATCATTGGTTAACGCCTCATTTGTTTGATGAGATTCTTCAAGTTGATCCTTCAGAGACGCGTTTAGTTGCAAAAGTTCTTCGCATCTACAGCAGAATAAAAGATGTCTTCAAAATGTAGCACGATTCTATATACCTATTTTATTTAGGGATGCTTAAAATTAATTTATATCAGAAAGTCGGTAAATGATCTTCAAAATTATTATATTTGGAATTTATGGAAATTTCTATATAAATTCCTTCATAATAATATCCTGCAAATTCTAAAATATTTTCTATGAACCTTTACAAAAAAAAAATTTGTTTACTCCCAATTTATGATATTTCTACATACTTTCGTCGTTCATCTCCGAGTTTTTTCAAAGCAGTATCCAAGTCGTGAATTTGCTCCTCGCGTATATCCCGTAGAGTCTGATGGGCAGCTTCAAGCACAGTAGTGGACGATACTGTGGCTGTCGATGGTTTACTAGTGTCGCACGGAATTGTTTCTGCCATTTGATTCTCGAGTTCCGAACACCTCTGTTTATACTGCAGAACCTAAAGGATCTTCAATTGTTACTTGCTGTCGCCAATGAATCTATGTTTAATAAAAAAAGATCAACGATACTTGCTTTAGCTTGTAACCGTGAGACGAGAGCAGCTTGATGTTGTTGAGCCTGCCGATATGTATCCAAACGTCTTTTGTAACTCGCGGTCTCCTCTTCCAAACGATGACGGAGCTCATAATTTTGTCTGACTAAAGCGTCTGGCGATAGATCTTCATCACTATTTTGTTCTTCTATAGCACCCCCGCTGCGTGCAGAATCCATCTTACTTCCACTGCTTCGTTCCGTCTGTACATACATAATTTTCTACTGTACTTTACATTGTCATAAAATAATGTTCTATTTTTATTCGATTAAAAATGCTTTTATATAATATTTCATTCTCGTATCAGAATTAAATTCAATTTTTTTGTTAATTCAATATGAAAAAAAATAATAAAGCGATAGGAATTGTATACGTACAAAATAAAACATATTGTTAATAAAAATTTATTTATTTTTTTTATTATAGATTTTCATTCAAAATTATTTTTCAAAGTTAAAATTTATCCTAATTCAATGTTATCAACAATTATTTTTAATATTATGTATATAAATATTATCTTAATAATTTATACAAATATGTAATAAAAATATAAAGGGATGGTGTAATAAAAGCACACGCGAAATCATGTGCATCTTCAAACTTGGTTAGAATCCTGTTTATTGTTTATTACGAGTTGTTATGGCAATGATGACGTCACATTCATTGGCGTAATCAATTGCTCCACCGTGAAAATTATATGTAGATAGAATTTTTTTATTAACACACGTTACTATATGAAAATTTTATAAAATTGAATTGATAAATAAAATTTTATTTTAAATTAAACTAATTTTAGTTAACTAATTTTGATTTCTAATACAAAATGTAATTTTAAATTGCAATAACTGTGTGTTTGTTCCACATCATATTTGATCACGTGTATTATTTTATATTTTATTATTGAAATTGAGAATGCTTTTGTATATTAATGTTGATAATAATATAATTGGATATAGATATATAATATGATGACAAAGAGACAATAAAATATTTTTAATTAATTTAATTATATCTAAATTACGAAAAACATTTTTTTCATCCTATATATAATATATTCTATATATAGTTTTTAAAACGTTCACAAGTTTCTCTAGTTTTTCTATAGAACATGTGATTCTATAGAACGTGCTCGCATTTATAATGTATTGTTCTTTTTTTACCTCCTTGGTTTTGGTAGAAGCTCTGAGAAACGGTGGCCGCCGCCTCTCCATCTGTCCTCGTGCCGATAATTGAGGAGTTCCTTTCGAAACTGGCTGCAACACACATAATTCCTTTGGATTAATAAGCAATATGTTATTTTTATATTTCTATTTTAATCGAAAACTTTATACTCGAGTGCAATCTGTGCCTTCTAAGTATTAATTTAAATACTTTCTGTATTTCCTGTATCTTTTTTTTCTGTAGAGAAAATTCTGTAATTGCTATTCTGCTGAATTTTTAACGCGCCCAAGCTTATCGTAATTGCCCTGATTACAGAATTTTTTTCTCATTTGAGATACTTTGTCGGATATATTAACTAATTAAGCTGATAAAACAACAAGATTAATCTGCATCTGTTCAGTTTGATTTTTTGTATAGTTCCTAATAATTGAACTATAGTTCCTAATAATTGAACCCGCGACCGCCGCCAGGCGTCGATATGCTTTTCAACATTTTGAACACATTTATAATTATGCTAGGTCAGCTTGTTTTTGCTATCAAAATACGCCGTTATCGCACGAAGACGAAACAAATTGACGAAGAGAGGTTCTAAACATTTTCTATGTTTTATCTCCACCGTTGTTTTATCTCTATCGCATTGTTTTGAAATGCATATTATTGAGATAATATCTAATTTATTATAAATAAGAGGACCACTAACTACTGTCAAAGTTAGATGTTGCAATCAAACTCTTTTCCAGTGTAATGTTGTCACACTTTGAAGAAATCATTGATATAATGACGCACTATCCGAACAATTAGTTTCCTGACTGTATATCGTTGATGAAACGCAATGTTGATGCATGAATTACCAGACTTGCAGTTTATCTCGCAGCGGTTATTAGCCCAAGTGTTAAATTCTCATGGGGTGTTAATAACCGCCTACGATCGCACGAATGAATAGCTGCTGGACGCGCCACGGACCATTGCGAGATACCTATACAGAATCGATTGACTACTTCACTCTTCATATCGTTACAATTATTTTAAAAAACTCGGCAATAAATTATTATTATCACGATAAGACATCATAAATTTTATGAAGTCTAAGGCTTCTAACAAGTTTTCAATAGATTTTATACGTCCATTTCAAATAGTAGTCTTTATCGCAAAAAAATGTGATTTGGAAACAACAGTTTTTAAAAAAATTTCCGTTAACATGTAAACATTTTTTCATGACGCAAATGATAATTAATATGACAAGAGTAACTTGTGATTGATTTTCGCGTTATTGAACGCTTCGAAAACTTATTGGGATGAACCTGCAGAATTTTCATTAACCTACGATCAATGGGGTAAAGTCTATGTTAGAATGACGTTATCCAGTGGAAGTATCGCCGATTTACGTGGCATATTTAAATTATCGTGACAACTTGAAGTCGTACATAGGAAGTTTTCATTTTGGGAAATCAAGCCAGTAGTGGTGTTTGCTGATGATCCTGGCGGACCAGGTTGGGCATATATTGATTGGTGCCATTCAGTGCCTGGCAGTGGCGCGAGCTTCTTCTACTTCCTATTCGCTCAGATGCTAGATACTAGAAGCCCTTCGTAGGGAAGATAAAAATTAGACACGGGCTAGAGTTCGGGGCTTCTCCTCGAAAAAGGGATCCGATTTCCTCCGTAGAAAAGACATAAAAAACGAGAGAAAGCAAACAGCTAGGAACAGATTATTTCACTATGGGATTTGTACAATGTTGAAAATCTAGAGTTTTTCAATCATTTAATGATATGGCATACTCGACTTTTCCACTAACTTATATCTTTTTTATTAACGCTCCACCTATAATTGAAGTCTTTAAAAGAATTTTTGATAAATTTAAATCTGTAAAAAAAAAATAAGTAAAATACAATTCGACTTTTAATACGGTAAAAATTTGTTGTTGAAGCTTTGACAAGTATATCAAAATTTTTTGAGATTTTTATATAATTTGGAACAATAATAAAATTTGCTTTATTTCTCGATTTCTATTATTGAGGAAAAAATTAAAGTTTATGTTATCAGTAAAGAGTTACTAACGATACAAACATTTGTTTGATATCGTTCCTTAATATTTATTTGATCAAAAAAAATTGTTTACAGTAGGAGAGCACAAATATCTCTTTTTGGCACTCCGTTATAGTATTGACCAACTTAAACGTGCACATTTATAAAAATACGTTCCGTTTGTTGGAAATGCACATGCTGCAAGCGTAATTTAACATTGGACTTTGAGATCAACAATAATTTCAGATAATCGTATTCGTCATACGAGTGACAAATGAAGTGCGGAAATGTCTGACTCAAAGTACAAAACTTCGGTATCAATGGCGACCCAGACTGGAGAGGCATCTTCATTTATTATATCTCACATGAGTCTTTTTTTTTTTTTTTTTTTTTTTTTACGAAAGAGGAAGATAATCAATTTTTGAATCTGATCACTCGCGGTTCTCATGTTGATAGCCACATAAGAAAGTCGTTCGAAGTTGTTCTAATGAGCGAGAAACGTACGTAAGTTTATTATGGTATTCAAATTTGTTGTGGAATCTTTTTCTTTTTTTTTTCCTTCCATGAAATTTCCGCTATGAGACCTCATTAAGGGGCAGCGATCGAAGCAGTTCAAATCGTGTCTGCCTATATCTGACAAGTGGGTTTTTTTGCAGACTATGGCTTCGTGGGTCAACGAGTATCGTCTTTTCTCTCTTCTCATTTCGTTCCGACGATAAACACGTCGTGGAGAATTGTGCATGGATTTTCAGAATGTGGGGGAATTTATGCGCCTGTTCTCCTTCCTCTTTTTTTGTTTCTCTTCACTTTTTCTCTTTCTATCAAAACGGAACAAAGTCGAGAACATGATACCGAAGATATTTCACATTTCATAAAAAGACATAAAAACCGAATTCTTTTTGATAAAAATCACGTATTGTGTATGAAATTCACGGAATAATTAGAAAACGCGGATTTCGACATTATGTCGATCGAGGAAAGTAGTTAATATGATGTCTGACGCAACGATGTACGGACATTTGTGGTCACGCAGTTTCATAAGGGATGGTCTATCTTTATCCTTGATCACGTGCAGATCGCATCAATTCTCATTTCGCATTATTGTACATGTGTCACGAACTTTAAGAGATCAATTAAGATTTTATTATTATAAAATCTCTCTCTCTCTCTTAGAGAAAGGCACTCTTAGAGAACTAATCTTCTAATTCCGTGATAACATTTCCCGATGGCACGCTATCACTTGCTGTACCAAAAGAAAAAAATGGAAGATTATGGAAAATGTCTTGGCTACATATATATGTTAGACATATCGTGCACGTGATTTTGTTACACACTAAGTATTAAAAATTAAAAAAATCAACCAAGAACTTCCGATAACATATCAAGTCCTTATGCTTTTGGAATTTCTGATAACATTTCAAAATATTTCTATTAATGGTCATGATTTTTATCCAGCACCTTTGTAATCGACCTCTGTTTATTTGCGGATTTTATTGCATTATCGACACAATTTCATCATTCCGACGTGAAGTCCAGAAAGAAGAAATGAACAAAAAAGAGAAGTAATCGTTTCTTACGGAAATTACTGATCAATGGTCAATGTCACCTGATTACAACATTCGCAGTCTAATTAAATTAAAATATCACGTGAATTACGTTAACTCTATCAATCGACTTTATATTTGACATGTAATTTATTTTCTTACTATTTTATTTAAAAACTTGTTTCTTTAATATTTAATGACTTTATCTGTAATGTAAGATCTTTTTTATTTTTAAAATTTTTTATCATTGATCAGATGATGTAAACGTGTATTAAATTTGAACAGACCAGCAAGGTCTGTCTGTAGGTTAATATAAAATAAAATATAAAATAAAAAAATCATAAGAAAATAAAATAATAAGGGACATGTATAGATTACACATTTTATATTTATATATGTATATAAAAAATATTTTTATTTATCTGATTTAAAAATTCGATTAAAATATTGCATCAGCACAATCGATACAATTATATAACGCTAATGAACATTGCCCGCAATGATCAGTAAACAGATCCGTTTTTAGAATTGTGCAAGACAAGATATGTGATAATATTTTTTGCGATTTGTTTCAAAGTAAAACGCATTCGACGTTTATAAAAGTCTGCGTTATTCCGATCACGAAAGAATTTCTTACAATGAGACTGACCTATTATGTAGTCCTGCGAGACCCTCAGGGAAAAACGGTATTACAAAGGAATATTATACCCCATCACGTATCGATCGAGCTTCTCACACCATGGTGAGTGTGTCAATGCACGCGTTAAAATACCCGCAACCGGGTATGCATTTCGTGTTCATGCGTACATACGCATGTGAGTAAACACATGCAACTCATAGCATATGTCGCGCATATTTGCTTTATCACCGTCAGAAAACGAAATAAGCTTCGAGGTACGTTCTTTGAAATATTCACATTTGCGATTCTCATCGCATAATGGTGTAACGATCGTGAGAAAGAAGAAAGAATTTCTTTGCCCAATAAAGAATCTTCGTTAAATGACATGACACGTGACAAATGACAAATGACATGTAAACATTTAATTTATTTGTCCACACTCTAAAAAATATTAACATCATGATTTAACATCATGAGTTTTAAATCCACACCATGATGGTGCAATTGATTTAAAATTCATGGTGTTATAAATTCACATCATGTTGGTGTTAATATTGATAACACGTTGAGAATTGTATACTAGATGGTGAATTAAATCCACATCGATATTTCGAGCAATAAAGACTGAAAACAGACGCGCTTACTTTTAGCACGTGTTGATGAGAATTGTATGATTGCATTCCGCGTCAAAAATGGGATATGTCTCTGACAATATTTTTATCTTATGTATACGGTACATATGATTTTGAAAACATTTTGTAACATAGCGGACATGTAACTGAGTGAATGAGGTGAATGAGCTTGTGACAGAATAAACCCCAGTTCATGAATAGATTATTATGATTTTACGACACTCCCCTTTGCAACGAATGCGTCATACTCTGTGAAACTGTCCAGTAGTTATTCTCAATTACGAATGGATATTTTTTACAATGTATATTAATTTGATGTAAAAAATTTGCATCAATATTTATCATGGGATGTTAATTCATTAAATATAATTAAAAATTAAATTATCAAAAGAATTTTTATTAAGCAAATTAGTTTTTGTTGATTGAAATATGCTTTTTCATTTAAAAAGAAATCGATCTTTTGAAAAAACTGTATGCCAAAATCTTTAAATTGAATTTCAATAAAAATTTTTTTTATACATTATCAATTTAATACGCGAAAAACATAGTATTTTTTATGTACTATTTTTTTATATTTTGTATATTTTTAAATAAATAAAAATAAAAATTAATTTTTGTATAATACAATAAATAATTTTAAAGAATGAACAAAAACTAAAATTAAAATTTTAATTATAGTAATAATTTTATAATTAACTCTTACATTCATACCAATTGAATCGTAAGAGAATTGGACAGTAATAGGATCTCTTCGCCATACCATCAGTGTTTGTGCGGTTCAAGATAATGAAAGGAGTCAATCAACTCTCTCTCTGACGCGAAACTAGTTAACCGATGTTACTAACGATTTCATTTCTACACTCTCAGCGAGCGCTTAACTGAACTTTACAGGACTAACCGCTTGTTTGAAGACTTCGTCGATCAATTGCATGATAATGGCGGTGTACGTAATTAGGTATCGGAAATCCACACCTAATCATGGTTTCAATTGTTTTTAGATCAGATCGTTTAATCTTGGGAAACGAAGATGTTATATCATATTAATATCAATAAATGCACGGTTATTAAAAATATATAATTAATGAAAAAATTTTTTTATTTGCTTCATGACGAATGCAATTCTTAAAGTTTTACAAGGTTCAACATTTCCTTATTTTATTTAATTATTATAACATAATTTTTTTATAAAAGCAGATGTAAATATAAAAGATAATCAAAAATTTTTTTTGCATTTTTTTGATTTTAATTGCATTTCAGCCACCTACTTATTTCGTTATATTTTTTCTATAAATCCAAGACTGTATTTATTTTCATGCAGAAGTATATAAAAACAAACAGCTCTCTCTCTTTCATAATTACAACTTATATACTTATATACTTAATAGTATCTTGACTCATCAGATAGTTTCGGAATAACAAAACATATTTTATAATATTCTTTTTTTATTATAAATATTAATAAATAA